GTAATTCCAGTTCTAAGATTTTGTGATTCTAGTAATGAGATTCTGTGATTCCAGTTCTGAAATTCTATAATTCCAGTGATTTTTGTGATTTTAGTTCTGAGATTCTATGATTCTAATTCTGAGATTCTGTGATTCCAATGATTTTGTGATTTTAGTTCTGAGATTCTATGATTCTAGATCTGAACTTCTGTGATTTCAGTTCTGACATTCTGTGATTCCGTTTCTAAGATTTTGTGATTCTAGTGATTCCAGTTCTAAGAGTCCATGGCTAATTTCACAGTGACTTAAGACTGCCACCTAGTGGTTTCCCACTGGTCTTTGTGAAGGCAATTGGACGGCATGAATAATCCTGAATACCTTATTTCATGCATTGTAGTTTGCCAGCCGTAAATTTATAACAACTTTTTGAGCTGTTGGCTAGCTGCGTGATCACAGGTAAACCCTTTCGTCTGCATGAGCTTCAGTTTCCTCCTTTGCAAGATAGGAATAGTAATCTTTGTGCAACCATTCCTTACTTTGGGGAAGGAAATATTAAAACACTATGTAACACAAGCTGTTATTATTATCATCGTCACTGTTACATGTGAGAATTTGGGAGTTGTTTCCCCTTTTTGGGCCTCAATTTTCTTATTTGTAAAATGAGGGAATGGGACCAGATCAGAGGTTCTTAACCTTTTTTTGTGTCATGGACCCCTTGAGCAACATCTTGTAAAATCTATGGACCCCTTCTCAGAACAAGATTTTCAAAGGAATAAGATTAAATATATAGCATTATAAAGGAAATCAATTGTATTGAAATGTAGTTATCAAATTTTAAAAACACCTCTAGTTCACAGACCTCCTAAAATCTGGGTCTGTGGACCTCAGGCCGAGAGGATCTTGTTTGGTTTTTTTGTTTTATTTTTTGTTTGTTTGTTTAGCTAGGCAATGGGGTTAAGTGACTTGCCCAGGGTCACACAGCTAGTAAATGTCAAGTGTCTAAGGCCATATTTGAACTCAGGTCCTCCTGACTCCAGGGCCAGTGCTCTATCCACTGTGTCACCTAGCTGCCTTCCTAGAGGATCTTAAAGGTTCCTTCTAACCCTATGATAACCAGGCTTATCAAACAGCGTTCGAGGGCTACCCAGTCTGTTCATTGCCAGGTGCTAAGCACTGAGGTCCCATCCAGTTCTAAATTCTCGAGTCCTAGACAGCTTGTTAGAGGTATTATCATCCCATTTTGTAGATGAGGAAACTGAAGCTCAGAGAAGTTATTGGTACTTCTCATATGGCACCTTAAGGTCATTATGCCATTTGTTCCTTACCACAACCCTACAAGGCAGCTGTTACAAAGATTATCATCCCCATCTTACAGATGAGAAAACTGAGTCCCAGGAAACTTATTAACTCACATTCCTATAGGGCATGAAGACTTGTAAGGGGCTTTGCAGATATTCTCATTCAGTCCTCACAATTGCCTTCTCTTGGGTAGCTCACGTGAGTCTTATCCCCATTTTAACAGATGAGGAAAGAGGAAGTCAGAGAAGGAGTGATGATTTGTCCAGAGGCACACAGCTGATTAAAGTGAGAGCAGCCTCCTCACTCAGACAAGTGTATGTCAAGTGCCTGACTTGAAATTTCACCCTGTTGTGTAAGAGGAGGGGTGTGTGTGCGTGTGTGTGCGTGTGTGTGTGTGCGTGTGTGCATGTGTGTGTGTGTGTGTGTGTGTGTGTGTGTGTGTGTGTGTGTGTGTACGTGTTGGGGAGGAGAGTGCATGCTTACTGTGAGACCAGTTAGGACCTCTGGTTATTAGCTCCTTGCTGTACCTTCTACCAGATTCCCTATCCTTTACTCTGTCTTTGCTGCTACCGTTTCCCCACTTGAAGGAAAACTTCCCTCTTCTCTCCGTCCTCTCCTTCCCACCTCCTTCCAGCTAAATCTCCTCAGCCTTTAAGGCCCAGCTCAAATCCAGACTCCTTCAGGAAGCCCTCCATCATTTCCTCTGGCCAGAGGTGACCTCTCCCTGCTTTGCTCCTCTGGCGCATAATGTCTGGCCCTATTCATATGTCACTGAGCGTGGACTGCCTCCTGCTCTTGGTTAGAGCTCCATGTCCTCTCAGAGCCTGACGAGACTCCAGAGAGTCCCCAGCTAGTCCGTCAGCTGAACCAGTATCAAAATGATGCTTTTTTGCATCTCTCTAATCTCGCTAGGATCTAGACTAGATCCCCTTTGAGGTCCATGTTGAGATTCTGGGATCCAGTCAAATCCAGGAATGAATGAATGAATGAATGAATGAATGAATGAATGAATGCCCTTTAGTTCCCTTGACAAATGGTTACCCCATCTATCCAGATTTCCAGTGATGGAGAACTCTTTGTCTCCCAAGTGGGCTCATTCCACTTTGGGGGGCAACTCTAGCTTACATTGTACTAAATCTGCCTTTCTGTTACATCCACCCAGTATTGCTATTCTCCGGGGCCAAGCAGAATAGGAATGACTTACTCGCCAGACAACCCTTCAGATGTATGTTTGGTAATCTTGTCTTGCCAACTTGCCTGGATGACCCCTTGGTGGCAGGGACTGTGTCTTTTACAGGTTGTCCCAAAAATCTTACTGCAGCTTTAATCCTTAAATGGTTAGTTTAGACCAGGATAGACAAGTCACCCAGGCCCTCTGACTCTAAATGCAGGCCTTTTCCTACTTCCCCGCCTCCCCTTTGTGGGGCCAGTGGCCTCCTACATGGAGATCACAGGGGCGTTTTACAGCTCTTACCCTGGGAGCCAGATCCGAGAACACACTCTGACTCTGTAAACATTGGGAGGTGGCAGGTGATGCCAGCCAGTGGAGGTAGAAGCTGTTGACAGAGGGCAGTAGGAGGGAGATCCGGGGGCCTCTTTTGCCGGGGGAGACATCTGGTGCTGTTTTTCTTCTGCAGCCTTAGAAGGTCAAGCTGTTTGTGTCCTGTTCATTAGGTCAGTTCCAGCTGTGAGGCTCCCAGCACACAGACTGAGTCCTCCCACCTTCACAGCACCCCGAGGTCGTTGGGGTGGGGGATGGGGCTGGCAGCTTTCTCTCTAGAGAGCTCCTCCCAAGAGCAGAGCAGGGTGCTGGCTCTCCCTGCAAGCCTGCCTCCATCACTCCACCTTCCCTAGTGCCCCATGGCTCCAGGGTTTGGTACAGATTTTGTTTGGTTCTTCCTAACAGTTCGATGCAAAACACTGTTCTGGGTACTGGGTAGAAGGGGGTGACCCCAGATTTAAAAAGCATTCTGGGTCCTCAAGAAGCTTACTATTCAGTAAGGAGATAAGAGACCATGGTTAGTGGAAAAAAACATTGAACTTGGAGGCAGCAGACCTGGGATCGAATCCAGCTCTGATTTTTACTTTGTGACTTTGAGCAAGTCTGTCAGTTGAACGGATTGGGCTCGGTCACCTCTGAAGTCCTCTCCCGCTCTAAAGCTGAGATTCTGGGACTGTCCAGATGTGAGTGGGTAGAGAACGTCTTGGCAGTAGACATGGCGGAGGGCCAGCCATGGAATCAGCCAATGTGGTCCCCAATAAGAGCAGCTGGGAAGGCAAGAAAAGGGAAAGGGAGAAGGAGGGGAAAGAGGAAAGAGAAGGGAAGGAGTGAAGGAAGGGAAAAAGGAAAGGGAAGGAAGGAAGAAAGAAGAAGGGTCTGAGGTTGAATATAGCTTCAGCTCCTTACCCCTTGGCGTTTCCAGTCTCAGTGTCTTCATCTGTAAAATGAAGCTAATAACACGACCTCAAGGAGATTGTATCTGTATATCATATGTATATGTGTGCATATGTCACATGCATTTTTGTACAGGGTCCCCAAGAAGACAGGAACATTCAGCACTACATGGTAACTCATAAAACATACATATATGTGAGCTATTATTATTATGTCTTCAAAACAATGAAACCCCAATGCAGATGACCCCAACTCAAAATCAACTGATCAATAAATTAGAGAGGTACAAAAAAAGTCTCATTTGATGCTTGCTTCTTGAGTGATAGGGAAGAGGACTGACTCACCTCCTTCTCCCAGATGTACAGATCCCACCCAGGAAAGGCCTTACTGTGGTCATCCTTCTGTCATGAATAAGACTTTGTCAGTGACAGCCCCTCATCCTTGATCACAAAATTCATTCAGTGAGTGTGAGGCAGAAAAGGTCATCGTGGGTAGAGATCTGGTCTCCAAGTCAGAAAGGAGACAACAAGAAAAGAAATAGGTAAAAATCTATATACAGGATAAATAGGAAATAATGAAGAGAGGGAAGGCACTGGAATGACGGAGTCTTGGGCTATGCATTAGTAGAAGGGGTTCCCTGCTCTGATAGCATCACAGATTCTTTTTCCTCCTTT